CGAAGCACAGAAATCCAGATTGCAAAATCACACTGAAGTCCAAGTAGTCAAAGCAAGAGCAGATAGCACAATGGAACCGAGTAACCATCCATTTGAGAACGATACAGAAGAATCGTGAGTCAATGTCCAAGCCCAATCGGGCAACACCAACAGCATAACCCAATGTAGCTCTCTCTCTTGAATGGCGCCAGGCGCCCTACCTACTCTATAGCCTACCTCTACAACTACAGCATGAAAGCAACCAGACAACTTGACGACCAGCGAGTGATGATGTCAACACCAATGCCGACTTCCTCTCCACTAGGTACGCCTCACTCTTCTCCCTCACTCTCCCTTGTTATCCCACACAGCGCCCTTCACCTCCGAAGAACCACCTTCGCCCTTCCTCCTCTGTGCCCACAGGCAGCCCAGCGCCCTGCGCCCAGGCAGCGCCCTACCGCTTAGTGCCTGCCTGCCTCCATCCGCCCAGCGCAGCTCTGCACAGCGCAGCACCTCGCAAATACGCAGCGTGCCCGCAATGCCTGCATTGGCCAAGATCCCTGCCTACTCGCCCTGCTTGCCTATATGCCAGTGTTGCATGTGGGCGGCCTCCCCTCAGCCTGCGCCTGGGCCCCAGTACCTGAACCCAGGCCCGATGAAGTTGGGGCACGGGAGATGCAGTTGCGCCTCTTTCATCAAGGCCTGCGGCCAGATTCAGATAGTGGGCCGGTTTCCCATTGGCATTTTCGGCCTCTATATCCAGCATGCATTGTCGGCCTCACGTTTATGTGCCCAGGGCCTAACTAACTCAGGGGCCCTGGGCTTTCCTCATTTGCAGAGATCCGAGACTCGGTGCACTCCAACCAACTGGCGTGCTGCAACTGTATGGACCCCGCTTCGTGTTTGCACAGAGGGCTGTTGTTGATTTGCTGGCCCGCCTTCACTTAGGGCGGGCACGAGGCTTGCTGGGGCCTTAGCCCAGAACATGTACATCATGGCAAGGCCCCTTCTTGAGGGCTCAATCCTCACATTTTTAATTGTATTTTTCTTTTTTTTTGATGGACCACGGGTCAGATGTTGAACTCTGATCTTAGCCGAAAGGCCGAGAAAGGTATACTAGGTGGTTGTACTTTTCTCATTTGTTGGTTTACGTAATTTAACGATCCTGTACTCCCTCTGCTGTGTGGGTGGTGATGATCGTCCTCTTGCCAGGCCTATACTTATTGTCAAACTGAGGAGAAACCAGGAGTTGAAGCTGCGGGCGATTGCTCGAAAAGGAATCGGGAAAGATCATGCGAAATGGTCGCCGGCGGCAACAGTCACGTTCCTCTTCGAGCCGGAGATTCACATCAATCAGCCGCTCATGGATACTCTCACGGATGACGAGAAGGAAATCTGGGTCAACAGTAGTCCGACAAAAGTCTTCGGGATCGATCCAGTAACAAGACAGGTTTGTTGAAATGAACTCCGGTTACTTTTTTTTTTTTTTTTTTTTTGGTGGAAGGAAAGAAAACGAACTCTCTTTTACTTGTTTCTTGCATTTCTTTTTTTGTTTTGCATGTGTTTTTTGAAGTTGTGGACGTTTTCTGTTTTCTGCGGGAAGTATCTGTGCCATCAAGGTTCGTTGATGTTCGTCTCTGATCCGTTGTGTCCTGCCCCTTTGTCCCTCTCTCCTCCTTCACAGGTTCAAACTTCAAACTCATGCACCTCTCTCTCTCTCTCTCTCTCTCTCTCTCTCTCTCTCTCTCTCTCTCTCTCTCTCTCTCTCTCTCTCTCTCTCTCTCTCTCTCACACACACACACACACACACACAGTCCGACGAAACAGTCTGGTACAGTCATGCTTTTTTTGAGTGTATAGCGAATGTGACAACACACACACACACACACACACACACACACACACACACACACACACACACACGAACACACACATATATCGGTGAAAATATCCTGGGGAGTCTACCTTCTTCACCCGAATAGAATGCATGGTCATTATTGCTGCTGTATCTAGACTGAGAATTACCCCAAATACAGCTGTATAACGATGGTGAGTTCTGGGTGAGGACGGTAAGGCAAAATTCTGTTCCAACCTTCTGATCCGTTTTGCTTCTCTGTTTGAATTCTTTCTTCTTTGTCGATCTCTTCTTCCCTCTATACAGACGTGCACACGAACATGCACAAAGAGGTGAAAAACTTTTTCGTTGTTGGATTGTCTCAACTTGAAAAGGGCTCTCGTTGTCTGCAAAAGGGTTGAAAATGCTTTGACTTTGGATCTGTTCACGTGGGTGGAATAGGGGGGGGCTGCTGTGGTGAAAATTCAAAACATGCGCGCGCATGCACACGCAGAGGCACAACCGCGCACACACACACACACACACACACACACACACACACACACACACACACATGAGCACAGTCTTCAACGACCGACGTCCTGGTGGCCATCTGCAAAACGTGGCAGTCTGAATAGGCTAAGGTGGCGGCACCTGGCTCGCCCAACCCATGACCGCTCAGACATCCAGTATTGGCCCAAAACGAGGCTCAATTATGGGCCCAAAATGAAGGCTCAATTACGTTACATCCCCCATGTCCATACTAAAGTCTAGAACATGGCAGTGAAACAAGTATGCTTGCTACACAGGAGGAACGGACGGCAATATGTCAGAAAAAATATGGGGGGGGGGGGGGGGGGGGGGGGGGGGGGGGTGAGGGGTCTGGTTCCACTGCGCAAACCGGATGCAGAACTAGGTAATGACAAATTCTTAAGACCGGGAGTGGCGTGTACCTACTTGCTTCTTGGGGGGTTGATTTGTTATGACCAAACCTGATGATATCTGATGATATTCTCTACCTAGGATTGCCCACCCATTGCCAGCCAGCTGTCAGTGAGTGCGCCTGTTTTCGCGGTAAAAACGGGGGCCAGACCATGCTGACTGAGCAGGATTTTGACGAGGACCGTCCAGATTTGGAGAAGTCAAGGGTCGGGAGGTAACCACTGTGACGAATGGCGCGGGTGATAATGGACGAGGAGGCACCCATTGCTCTTTTTTTTTTTTTTTTTTTTTTTTGGCACCCATTGCGCTCAAGTTCTCAACTGTCTCAGCAAGAACGAAGAGGGAACCGGTGGCATAGTGTGTGTTCCCTTCCCTTGCGTCTGGACTGTGTATTGGGTTTGTTATTATGCTGTCTATTTTTTGTCTGTGAGTGCAAGCGCAGGAATCTCCTGGGAGAGAGCTGTCCGGTGGCACATATGGCAAAGGTACCCTGCCTGACAGGGTGCACTGCCCTCCCCCTCCCTACCTGTCGAATCGGCACTGTCCAGTGGCCACTCTGGCCCGAGTAACGATTCGGGGACTGAGAGAATTCTTAAGAGTGTTCTTTGGTGACAATACATGAAGCTCCATTCCATGTGAAAACTGCATTGCATCTCGTATGCTGCTGCTATGGTTCGTCGGTAGCTTGGGGGGCAAATGGAAAATGGAAGTGTGTCCTTAGTATTGTGTCCTTTTGCCGGCTGGGGCATGTTGTTGGTTGTGCTCTGGTGTGGGGTGGGTTTTGCAGGTCCAAGTGGTTAATAATGAAGCCTACACGTATGACCAGGAGGTGATCAAACAAGCTGAGGCTATGGGGAAGCCAGGGTTGGTGGAAATTATTTCTAGAGAGGACAGCTTCATCTTCACGATAGAGTCGACGGGGGCACTTAAACCTTCAGCCATGGTTTTTGCCGCAATCGATGTCTTGAAGCAGAAGCTCGACACCGTCAGATCTGCATTCGCCGACACGGATATACAAGATAGCGAATTCAGAGACCTCACTGGACATCTGACGCACTCGTAAATTCTCCTGTTGTTTTTTTATCATTTTCCGTTTGATCGTTTACATGAACCCTGGTTCGAACATGCGGTTAGATACCCTTTTTTTTTTTTTTTTTTTTTTTTTTTTTTTTTTTTTTTTTTTTTTTTTTTTTTTTTTTTTTTTTTTTTTTTTTTTGGCGGTTAGACTCTTGATTTCAGCGTCAACTAGCTTATGTGATATGGCACCCTCGGTTATTGTCCACGTGGCGCGGAACATGAACGAGCACGTCGATGTGGTGAGAGACCAACCCCTTTGAGATGCCTCTATATCTGTGCGTCTGCCCAACCAATAGACAGGCGCCAGGGGTAGGGTTATGGCGGTACGCTACTGGGAGGCGCTTGTAGCGGTACCTGAAACTCTGGTTAAAAAAAAAAAAGATGCTTCTATCTGGTATGTCAATCCCACCAGTTCCTCATCTTCTGCACAAGGAGCTCTTTGTTTTTTTTTGTTTTTTTTTTTTGGCACAAAGGAGCTTTTGTTGATGCAATGAGTTCATTTGATTCGGATGCGGCAGAAGTGTGAGGTGATTGGAGTATCAGGGATCTGTTCGGTGTGGGCCACAACGAGGGCTTGGAATGTTGCGGAGGGGCTTGGTGGGGCAATTTAAAATGGGGGTCTTTGGCCTGGCCTTTGCTGTGATTTTGTTGCTGTCGCAGGTATCGGCTGGGTGTATCAGAGAGGGGGGCTTGCTGGGCAGTGGGCACATCAATGGGGGTCATTTGCCCGAACTTCGCTGTGCTGTTGTTGCTGTGGTGGGTTTCTTCGGCTGACTGTTGCTTTGTCAGGGTTTAAGTCTTTGTGGCTGTATGGTAGGTAGGGTAGCTGATAAGGCTTTGTGGCCCTGTTGTCACAAAGTTGTAGAGAATGCGGTCTTTTTTTGGTAATTGGGGCTCTACCAAAGCTTCTCTTCAGGGCCCACGTAGCACCCACATAGTGAAGAAGCCAGAAGAAAAGTAGGGAAGCTGATGAGTCTTTTTTCAAGGCCTTGTTCCCAGGAAGTCGTACAGAATGAGTGAGCGCTTTTCTATAATCGGTTGAGTAGTTTTGACGAGGCTGGTGTCATGAAGGACGCAGACGCAGTAGTGGGCGGTTTGTCCACTAGGCATGTAGGGGGCTCCTCTAGCAGCATCATGTGTTTCACTAGCAGAAACCTTTGGAGAGTCATGTCAGAGCTGTTTCTTGGAACCTTCTTGGCAGTTTCTTGGCACTTTCTCCAACTTTCTCCAACTTTCTTGTGTATTATTAGGCGTTGAGACAAAAATTGTATTTGCAAGGTGGCGTCTTTGAATAGATGGGCTTGGTTTGGTACCAGAGAGCAGAGTTTTGTGAAGTCTTGTTTCGAGCCCGCGCCGTTGGGCTGTGTCCGCCTGCATCGTCAGGCTACCACCAAGGGCTATGTCCTGTCACGTTCTGGAGTGACAATTTGTTCGCTGGTCCGAGACTCCCGAGTCTTCTTCGGACAATTTGTGACAAATTGTTTGTTTGTACCCCGTAATGGGTAAATTGCGCTTACTCCGTATTCGCTGTATGTCTGCCATCTCATGGGTGTTTTGAGTGTGCATGTGCAAATCCTTTTTTTTTTTTTTTTTTTTTTTTGCGTGCACAAATCCTCAGTTTTGAGATAGAAGAATTCTCATCCAGTGTACAAACAACTCTGTTTTCTGAAATATCGCTGGCAATATGTTAGAGAATTCTTGCACCCCAACAAAGGGGCTCGTTCGACACTCCTCGGGCGCGTAAAGTCCCCGAGGAATTGCTCGTTCCACTTATCCTCGGGGTTGCAGTCGGGAAAAAAAAAGTGAAAACACTCCGAAGGAAATTCTTCGGGCTCCGAGGATTCCCCAGCCATTTCTCCCTTTTGCCCAAGGGACCTCACGAGGTCCCTTGTGCAAAAGGAATCCGCGTTTCACGGACAGGAGCGGACACACGCGTAGAGAGACGTTACAACCGAGAATCTGGATCGTGGCGGCACCCCATTGGCTGAAGGCCTTAAGCACATTTTTTTTTGTTTTTTTTTTGACTTTTTTCTTTTCTGAAATCGCTCCAAGGAAACGTCCTCGGGCGACGTCCCCGAGGACAGGTGGAACGAAGGGCCCAAATTTCCTTTTGACTAAAAGGAATTTTTCCTCGGGCTCCGAGGACGCCCCAAGGAGTGTCGAACGAGCTCCAAAGTCTTGAGAATGTCGTCTTTCTGTTCATTTCCACAAAAAATGTAATCTTTCATTTTCTCTTGCTCGTCTTGTCCATCTGCTGGTAATAACCAAAAACTCTTTATGTTCCCAGCTGTCCGATGGCAGGATGTCCTGGCTGGACAGTCAGGGGGGGGTCTCGGACGACTCCATTTTTAGCATTTAAAAGCATGAAAGAAAGAAAAAAGAAATTAGGGTGTCTTTATTTTTATTTTTTATTTTACAATACTATAACGGATCTCAATGTCATCCCAAGGCAATAGTTGTTCAGTTTGTTTTTTGAACTTTTTTCTGCATTTTTTTTTTTTTTTTCTTTAGGGCGTTCAGGCTTCGACAGATTGCTCGGGGAGGATGTCCGACGCGTTGTCCGACGGGAACAACCCCGGACGGCCAGGGGGGGTCCCGGACGTCCGATCAGGTAACCTAGCAAAAGCTCATATTGTTTAATCGTGGAAAGGCCATATCAGGCGCTCCGGCAACGTAAAGCATATTTTAGGATCCCTTCTGGGAGATGGTTCACTCAAAATATTCAATAAGAAAAAAATAGTAATAAAAAAAAAATCAATAAGAATGCAACATAGCCAAATTCAAGAATAATAAGCTTCATAGAGGCTAGTGCAGTGCAAGAAATATCACCTTTGGTACCGGCGATTGGGCCTCGCTCCTCTGCTCACCAGATGTGGAAAAGGAGAATGGATCTTCCAGTAGGGCATGGACCGATACACTGCTAACCTTTTTCGCCGTTTCTGCAGCATTGTCGAAGTTAATGTGTGTTAAACCGCCACTGCTCGGCCCCGCCCGACCTCAAAACACGGATGGCTCACTCTCCAAAAAATTTGGACACTTGGGACCACAAAGGTTGGCGGCGTCAGCCGGAAAAGAAAAAGAGGGGCAAAGGGTATCGTTAGACACTCCTGTTGAAATCCTTGGGCAATAGGAAAGATTCCTAATGGCTCAAAAGGTAGTTTGGGCCCTTCGTTCTGCCTGTCCTCGGGGACGTCGCCCGAGGACATCCCTTCGAGCGATGTCAGAAAAGAAAAAAAAAAAAAGAAAAAATTTCAAAAGAATTCAAATGTGCTCGAGGCCTTCAGCCAATAGGATGCAGCCACGATCCAGATTCTCGGCTGTAACGCCTATCTACCCGTGTGCCCTCTCCTCTCCATGAAACACGGATTCCTTTGGGGATTTCGCGAGGAATAGGAAATTCCTATGGCCCCAGGAATTTCCTTCCGAGCGTTTTCACTTTATTTTTCGGATTGCGTCCTCGAGGATAGGTGGAACGGACAATTCCTTGGGGATTTCGCATCCCCGAGGAGTGTCTAACAACGCCCAAAGCGATGCACAGTGCAAATCTGCCAGCCTCGGGTGTACCAGTGCTTAGAATCACCCTGTCGCTGCCTGAAACAAATTGTGCCATCCCTTTAGGATGGACAAGAAGCTGAGATAGCTTGTCAACGCAGTGAGCCCAGCTGAAAATGTGCCCGATCGAGACTCGAGGCCTTTGGTCCTCGTTCCACTGGCCGAAATGACCTATAAGCTTCGTAGAGGGGTTGACCCTCCACGCCAAAAATGGTTTAGGGTTTTGAGAGGCTGTCCAAGGCACTGTTCGGTCAATAGCTCGGGAACAGTCCTTCGCCACAGTGGCTGTTCGTCCTATACGAGGGTCTTTAACGGAGGGGAGCTTCCACTATTCAGGATATGTGCACCTCACAAACAGCTCAGAAAGGAAGATGGAACCGGTGAAATACAGACCCAAGTTCGAATCTAGATGAACAGAAAATAAACCACACACAAAAAAAAAAAAAACATGGTACCAGCGCCGTCTCAGAGAAATGGTTGGTCAGAAGCCCAACCGGATCAAGTGTAGGTCCACGTCATGAAATCCAGTGCCTGTGATCTGGGGTTGATTCTTGTGACTCTGCGGAGTAGCCGGGGGGAATTCAGCTCGGCACACTCACATGAAAGGAAAATCGGCGAGCAAGCAGCCCCCGACCTATATTACGGGCCCATCAACAAAACAAGAACATACAAAATACAAAATGAAAAATGAATGGTTATTTCCATGGCTACACCGGACCCGGACCCGGACCCGGACCCGGACATTTCCGGACATGGAACCGGACCCGTGTCCGGTAGTTTCCGGATGCCCGGGATTCCGGACATTTCCGGACCTCCGGACATGGGGGGATCCGGACGGTTCGGATGTCTGGACAGGTCCAGAAAATGTCCGGACCATTGAAAAAAAAATAAAAACAAAAAACATCTGAAAAAAAAGTATGCTATGCAGAATAACAATCCAAACCACTTTTGCCTCAGAGTCATGTCAGAATTCCTAACCAAACTTGAGTTAAAAGTCAAAAACTATAAAAAGCTTAAAAAAAGACKTAAAAAAGTTWWAAAAACTAATAAAAGGTAATGAATTATTCATAATAAAAAACTTGGGGTTGTCTAATAAATTATTATAGAGAGAGAGCATGTCCGGACCCCCCAAAAAAGCATAAACGGGCCTGAAAAACCCTCAAAACAATTTTGGGGGCTTGGCTCCTCAATGGGGAAGGGTCCTGGACCGTTTTTTTTCTTCTTTTTTTTTCTTGAAATTTGGCAGATCCGGACCGTCTGGACCGGACGTCCGGATTCCGGACCAAATCCGGGCCGTGTGGACGGCGGTCCGGACGTCTGGATCGTAGCCATGGTTATTTCACATTGCTTTTATATGGATGCTGCAGAGCCTTGGCAATGCGGATTTCAAGATGAGTGGCTTCCAGCCCCATGGCCGCCTGTGGCGCACTTGATTCAAATTAGCCGTGATAGGCTCTGCTTCATACCTCTGATCGGTAGAAGTAGGGTGTTTGCCCAGCATGAGTGTGTGAGTGCGAGTGGGTTGTGTGTGATGTGCGCGGGAGAGTGTTGGCCATATAGCCTTCTGCAAAATGCTCGGTCTTCGTGTTAGCCGGAGCCCATCCGTGGCCAGGGCAGGGGCAACATGCAAAAATCCCTTCATTGAGGGGTAGCTATGCTTGCAGGGGTTCGCTGTCTGCATAGCATTTACTAGTAGTAGGTAGGTAGGTAAAGGCAAAACAAGAAGTCGGGAGAAGAATAGTCTCTTTTTATTTATTTTTTCTTAAGAATATAGTCTCATTTTGAATAGAAAAAAGAAATGTTTTTCACATTGCCAGTGTGATCAATTCTCTGTGTGCATCTCCTTTTGAGTCCGTACCACCTTTCTGAACTGCTCTGTGATGCGAACCTGGTCATCTTCCCTTCGCCTTCTGCATTTTCGTCAGCTGCCACCATTCAACCGAAATCTGCACATTCCCAAGTTTCTACCTGAGCAATGTTCTGGAAGCGCCGGCCGGTCAAAGCACCAGTGCACTGCAGCGCGTCTGGAGGCGCTGCAACGCCTACGCCAAGCTTTTCTGAACTGCCAGCGGCATACTTTTTCTTTCTTGGCTGGCTGGCACAGCAGTGGCACCACCACCCATTGTGTCAAAGCCTCTACCTCCTACCCCTACCTTCGCCACACAGCACCCGTCTCCCAGCCCCCACCCACTCCTCTTCCCCTTCCCTCAACCCGACCCTGAGTTCTCTTCCCCCGAAAAACGAAAAAAGCAGACGAACGTGCTTCAAAGCCACAGACTTTAAAATTGCAAACAAGAAGTTGATAGCCCAACAAGCATTTGGCTGAGCGCAGCTCTGATGAACAGATCACGAGTCCCAACCCCGATGGGATCAATCGTTTAGGCTACCCAAATTCTTTTTTTTTTTTTTTTTTTTTTTTTTTTGGGAAAATCAGAACAAAGCAAAACAGACAAAAGGTTGGCTGACAGAGAACTACCACTGTGAAACAAAATTGCCGTGAGCAAGAGAAAAAAAAGAATGGCAGAAATCATAAGCGTAATGATACTTTCTCTTCTCCTCTTCACAAGGGTAAGGTCCAAAAAAAAAAAAAAAAAAAAAAAAAAAAAAAAAAAAAAAAAAAAAAAAAAAAAAA